CAATAAAGGTTTAGGGTGTAGTTATTTTTTCACACAGGTTCAGGTAGGTTTGAATAATTTTTCCATTGATGAATTTAATAATTTAATCATAAATAATGTAAACTGCATTTTGTATTTAACTGGCTTACTTTTTTTCTTTTTTTGAATGATGTGAAAAAAAAAACACATCATTGTTTGAACTGCTCCAGGCCACTGCTGATTGTTCATATGCAATAATGACACTCATATAACCTAACCTTTGCTGATTGGTTTGGATAAGTCCATGCCTTTCTACAGCCTCACAGTGGAGGCCAGTTTTGATGTCCATTCAGGTAACCAAAAACTTGATTCTTTGTTCAGTGAATGACTATAAATGACAGCCAGTGACAGTCACTTTAAGTTTGAGGGCTGTCGCTATTTGAATTTTACTACTTACCTACGTTTGAAAATATGCATTTTTTAAAAATTTTTTTAGCAGATATGGAGCAACAGGCCTCACCTGCAGCAGCAAAAGCAAAAATACATCCGGAGTGAAGTCTCTGACCACTTGATGGAGGTAAGTATTCACTTTCTGTTTATCAGTGCTTTGTCTTCATCCTTCTAATTTCAGAAATGAAACATGAAGTGCCCTCACCCAAACAAAAAAATAATTAAAAAAAGCCAAAAGGCACTATAAAGCTCTGCACAGCTCAGATAAGTAACATAGACATTTTACACACAGTTAATATACAGATTAATGAAAAACATTAATAAATAAGCATTTTTATAAGTCTTTTTTTTATAATCAATTTATTATACTCTTACAAGTCACTGGGTATGAGGAAAACCACAAGTTAAAAGTCGTGGGGTTGTTTTAAATTCTGATTTGAGCTTTAAACCTCACATTAATTCCATCAGTAAGACATCTCAGGAATACATCCAAGATAAAACCCTTCCTGATATACTCTGACTCTAAAAACCTTGTTCTTGTATTCATGTCCAGTGGAACTGCTGTGCTCTTTTTTTCTGGACATCCCAAAAAGATTATCCAAAACTCTCCTGCAACGTTATTAACTAAAGGAAAAAAATAACTGGGAGCAGATCAGTCCAGTTTTAGCAGAGCTACACTGGCTTCCAGTATCTCACAGCACATCTCATTGACTTTTGACTGACTCTTACATATATGTATATAAAATCCTAAATGATCTTGGACCTTCTTATATGTCTGAAAGTTGGCTACTCTGTCCCTACTCACTCTTCAACCCTTTAATCCCAAATTGCTGGCAATTTAATCCTCCTCACAGAGAAGAACCCCTTTGAACCTCTATATGTGAGACTGGGATGTACAAATAAACTGAATTTTGAGACTTGCCAGTGAACCTTTTGCATATTGCATTTCATAAATACATTGTACTCTTCTATCTGCATATTTCTGTAAATTACAGGAATTTAAACACAGAGTAAACCAAGCATTACAACATGTTATTTCATTAATGTAAGCAAAATGTTATCTGGTTGGAGCTTGTTAAATGTAAGGATTTTTTGTGACAGTAGACATCAGATTGGTTTAACATAACAAGTTAGTACAGCATATAATACTTAATGTCCAAAGAACTGTGATGGATATTTTTTTATTAATATTATTATTATTTTTTTTACATTTTGTGGAATGTATGAAAATAATCATCAGGATAAAATATAAAGAAAAGAAACTGCAGTTCAGAAAAATGATAGATACATGCACTTTTCAGGTTCTTGCTCAACTTCTGCAGTCTCGACTCAAGTAAATCTTTTAAGGAGCTCAAAAAGAGCAAAACAAGTGTAAAAAAACACAAGAGAAGTGCACCTCAAGATATGTTATTTATGCAATTCTTCATAAACTGGAAAAATGTAAGGCATTTAGCCAAACCATCATTAAAGGAGACAGCTCACCCAGCTCTCATAGTCTAGAAAATGAGGAAAAAAAAAACATAATGTAAACTTTTTTTTAAGATGGCAAAGCCAGAGGTGGAATAGCGGACACAGGAGCTCACAGAGCAGAGACCGCAAAAGTGACACGGAAAATATGTCATACACTTTTGTACTCTTCCAAGATTAAAAAAAAAAAATGAAAATAAGGCTGTAAAAATAAGTAAACATTACATTTTTGTGACGTACAGAATAAATTAGGGTGATGTAAATGGACTACAAAATAGACCAGTTGATAATTTGATATCAGAGCACCTTCATGAGCACGTTATGTAATAATCCATGTATCTTTAATTACATCTTTCATAGAATTTCTTCATGCCCTTTACTTCTGTACCCATATTTATTATGTATTCCAAAACTGTAACTTTCACTCACAGAAAATAATATGAGGGTTTATTTAAAAAACAAGAAAAGCTGTTGATAAAAGCAGTGGCTTTCTATAACTTTAATCTTTTTGTATCATCAATATATAAATAAAAAATTATAGATTTTTTGATACATTCTCTGTGACGTTTGTCTCACACTAGATGTTATTTTAAACAATAAGGATAACGTTTAATACTGTAAGAAAACGTGTTAATTAAAGCAATACATCATCACACTTGACATATAGTAGCAGTCAGTTTGATCACTGTGTAATTTGCTACATTATGTTCATCCAAGAGGATAATAATATTGCATTTCATAACAGATGATATGAAACTGGAGCTCATATGGGAATTGTGGAAAAATAGAAATACATAGAAACATTCACCTCATCATAGAAAAATAAGAAAACTCTTTTTTGTTTTCAGTTAATGCTAACATAGCCATCGCACAGCTGGATATTTCTTCTCGTCCTTTTGTGTCACCTTTTCCAATTTACGAGCAACCCATTTGTTATTGTAACCTCACAATTATCAAAGGAAAAATAAAAACGATTTCAATTAAATCCAAAGCAAACAAATTTCATTAAAGAATGAGTCTAATATGTTGTGTGATGATCAGAGATGTAAGTGTGGAATGCAGGTACAGTACAAGGGCCCTCTGAGATCTATTTTTTCCACACTTGGAGATGGAACAGGCAGTTGATATTAAACTATTACTGAGTATTCAGAGCTTCAGCTGCATCGAATTCACTGTTATCAGCTTTCGTTCAGAATACAAAATTCTGATGAGACAACCAGCGTTTTCATTTGTCTGGACCTTCGGTGACTTTTCCACCGCTCAACGGTCTCATCATTGTAGTCTAGTATAAGTAGCACCACAAAAATCTATATACATGAGAACTATTGAATATGTTTTATGCTCATTCTGACACCAGAACATATTCTCATCACATTTGCATTTGGATAGAGATCAAAAAGGCATCTCCAACATCTGTACAAACACAGTCCTTATACAACATTTAAAAAACAAAACAAAAAAAACATGAGGTCTGCCCATTTTCTGACCACCCAGAGCCACTGTTTAGCAAAGATTTATACCATTAAACCAGCAATTTCTTTTCTTTTTGGAATAAACATGTTTATTAGTTGAAAAATAAAGCTTCTCATCCAGCAATAACAACAATTGATTTTTGGTTGTTTTTTTTTTTTAATCTCAGAAAGGCAACATGTATTGTCGAGTATACCAGTGGATCAGCTTTAACATGATGACGCCCATCAATCAAGGCTGCAGTTATGCTTCAAACACTTTTTATCGGAAATGCGAACGCCACTGAGTGGCATGTTTACACTGGGTGTGAAATACTTTGGCCTTACAAATCAAACAGTTTAATCGTCACGTTTTCATCTGAACACTTACACTTTTAATATGCGCATTGACATTCAATCACTTTTTCCCCCCTCGTTTTCTGCTAATGAGCAAGTGGCGTTAAGGTGTCAGTAGCTTTGGGACAGACCTCACAGAGGAAAACACAAACAAAACAAAGGCATTACCACAACCTTCTAACATCATTGTCATTATAAACATACATTTAATGTAACTCGGATAGTGCTTTATATCGTTTATAAAACATAAATACACATTGACAGAGGCAGTGACATCGTGCTTCATGTTGAGGGACAGGGCAGTACTTTATAATATATATATATATATATATATATGTTTGTTCATTTAGAAAAATATTGATTTTACTATTTTATCTTCTTCTTCATTGACAAAAATATCCCATTTAGATCTACAGACATTCATACATCATGGTATATATACTTTTATATATATACATGTTACCTTTAACTATGTAGATGGGTATGGACTTAAATTTTTTTTCCTCGTAGTGCACAGCATGCCTCCAAAGTTGCCAAATGAAAAAAAATACAATAAGATAATGAAACAATAAGTATGCAGATATAATAGGAACATTTGTGAAGAAATCTCCCACTTAAAATGACAAAACATACAAAAATAATAATAAACGCTAACAGTACAGGAGAAAGCGGAGGTCAATGCAAAACAATTAAACACACAAACAAATATAAACATTAAAATATATAACGGTTCTTACTCAAACATACAGGGGAAAAAAAATTACAAATTCACAGGCAAAGGAAAGGACGCTTTACTCCAAAACAACAGCCCACACGTTCTCCCCTTTCGTTTCCAGGTCTTGCTTTTGTGCTCACTGGCCCCGTCAACCTCAATAAAGAAAGAAATAAACGGGCCAGGTGCCTCAGAGTGGACGCACTCACAATAAACGCACCTCCGCCTCATCCCCGTTAGAGAACAGAGGAGGTACAGAGACCACTGAGCCCAATGTTTAGAGGTTGTCTGAATCACTATCCCCAAAAAAGAAAAAAAAAGAAAAAAGAAAAAGTCTCTCCTCTAAATAAAGGCATCGGTTCACATCTGAATGAGTGTGAGCAAAACTCTGAGCTGGTGCGCTGCAGCAAACATCTTCAGTTGCTGAAAGCGATGGCGTGAATATACGCATGTCGGCCCAGGGCGATGAGGCTCTGTGGTATGGAGGTGTTTTTACTGAGGTCACCCTTCCACACAGTTGGCAAGAGAAGATTTTTTTTTCTGTGTGTTTTATTTGTTTTTTTATTCTTTTTTTCTGTTGTTGTTTCTATTTTGTTTCCTTTTTTTTAAACTTTTGGTCACAAAAATCCGTCGTTAAAATGAAAGCCATCCTCTATCCGGACTCCCTCAGAGCCTTTCCTGCTTGCTTCCTTAATTCCTTAAGTCTCTCTATATCCTCACAACTGGTGTGTCTAATCTTCATTGTGTGAACAACATGAAAAATGGCTCAGCAGAAGACAGTGGCATCCATCTTGCATTTTTTTTTTTTTTGCATGTGTTTGTTCATCAATTATGCGTCTGTGTGCGTGTTCAGAGTATTTAGCTGCTGTTCACTGTAAGGATTTGAGCAACGTGCTCCAAGAAAAGACTCTTCCGTTTGGTTGGGCTTGCGTCCATGTCCTTGTATGACAGGGTTCAAAGGGGGGCATGTTAGTTGAGCCGGCTTTCACTCAAGGTCCCAAGGGCTGGAGGGTGTCTTCGGGCTCTCGGGGGTCGAAGACTTCAGAGAGAAGGAGAAAGAGACAGAAGAGGAGAAAACAGAGATGGGTAGAGATGGGTCGCACAGCAGGTAGGCAGACGTCAGAAGATTTTTTTTTTTGTGGTTTTTTTGTTAAAAAAAAAGAAAAAGAAAAAACGAGAGAAGGAAAAAGCACAAGATTTAGTGGCGGGCTGTGACACTCAGATCCTTAACTTGCCAAGTCCAAACAGCAAATGAAGAAGCAGAGGGAAGTCGAGCAGATGAACAGTTAGAGGTGAGCGAGAGATCAGCAGCCTGTCTCCCACGAGAAGAAAACCTGAACAGAGCGTCCTTCGTCCCTATTTCAGATTTGCACAAATACATTCAGCGAGAGGAAGAAAAGCATGGAAAAGGATGGGAGCACTGGAAGAGGGGCAACCGACAGAGGGAACAAGTTAGGGGCGCTTGTGCTTGTCGGAGTGATCGTGTTGTTTCTTACTCAATCAGAGTACAAGCTTAAGAGAATTCACTGTGAATTAATCTGTTAAGCCACAGAATTTAAGATTGGCAACTTGGACTCAGTTTTCGTAACCCAGTTTTATTCACCCATAATGTCCAGTTGCGAGTGTAATAGAAAACTAAAATATAGTGAATGTTAAAGGTTAGACCTAATGTGCAACTATTTGTATGGCTCTTAATTAGGATACATTTCAGAATGTGTAAACTCATAATCCAATCAGATGTAAACCATTGGTTGTTTTTGTTGTTATTTTTTTTCTCAATCGGTGAGGCTGATCGGTACTGTGCGTGTACTTCAGCCTCTACTTCCAGCGAGAATAATGTGCGTGTGTGTTAACATGTGTATGCGTGTGTCTGTCGGTCAGTCAGAGCGCCAGCAGAGAAGGCGAGTTCAGAGAATCGGACGACTGCTCGCTACTGCTGTTCCGCTGGTTGGCACTGACCCCGCAGGCTCCCTCTGGGTAGGTGAACACAAATGAAGATGTGTATGAGGTGTTGTAGCTGCCAATGGCCGCATCGTCATGGTTAACACCACCACCACCACTGTCGTTGACCATAAGGCATGGCCCACCAGGTGCTGGCTCGCTTGAGCCATAAAAAGAACTAGAGAACTCTACCTCCTGCATTATTCCAGGCTGAGGCTGCTGCTGGACTTGCTGCTGCTGTTGAACCGGAGGCTGGGACTGTGTGGAGGCAGGATGGGCTGTGTAGGCAGGAGGCAGATAGAAAGAGTCTTCCTTCACAGTCAAGCCCACAATGGAGACAGGCGGTTGTAAGGCCTGGGGAGGAGGCAGCTGGGACTGCACTGGAGGCAGCTGTGCTGAGCCCTGCTGAGGCTGGTCCTGGTATGGGATCTTACAGTTTGCCTGGTGAGCCACCAGCACAAACTCCAAGCGCTCTTTCTCTTTCTGTAGCTCTGAGATCTCTGCCTCCAGTTCTGCCTTTGCTTCCTCCAGTACGTCTGTCTCCTGTGGGTTGGTACAGAGGATGAAAGAAAAAATGGGGGAGAAGGAGACGGGAACAAGGCAAAGGTGGGTGAAATGGGAAGAAGATGTGCAGCAGATAGAAGAAAGGAGTGTTAGGTATGCCAATCTTCTTTGTGTTTATTCCAGTAGAAATACCTCCCTGCTTCCCCTACAGCCGTATATGCAAGGTGGCTTATAGAAGAGTATGTTAATTAGGCCTTAACTACCAAAAGTACAATAGTCTCTTTTGAGGACTGTAATTGTCTTCGCTGCAGCTAAACACCCATTACCATAATCCTCTCTCTTGTACACACATGCAAGCATTTATTACCCCACCACACGATGCTATGGGAGGTAACATAAAATATGCAATTATCATCATCATTCGCTCTGAAAGCAAGAACAGGGCCAGGCTCACCGACTGCAGTCTGTCTGTAAGTTCTCGTCTGCGATTTCGGCATTTGGCAGCAGCCAGCTTGTTCCTCTCTCGACGAACACGTCTCTTTTCTTCTTCCTCGGGTGTTAGCTAAGATAAGGAAGAATACAGATTAGCTTAAAAAAAAAACACTGGCTATTTTAATTGACTAATTTAGCTTAAAAACACCAAATAAAGCTACATTTGATCACAGCTGACAGATAAAAGTTGCTTGTGCCTGAACAGTGAACTAGCCTTCTGCCGTTTAGTAGGTTTGTGCAAATGAGAAAATACCAAAGCAAACACCAAATACACCAATTAATTACCCACCCACCCATTAGTGTTAGCACACACCACTGCTTAACATTACAGACACAGCGTTATTACCTTTACTGGCTTCCTCGTAAACAATATACCTGCAGTGCATGTATAACATGCGAGGGTCAACAGACAAACCATTCAAGCACGCAAACTTACTAACACACCAACATCTCCATCTTCACTCACAGACTCTTCTCGTGTACGCCGAGTTCGGGCTCTGGACTGACGGACAGGGCCAGCTGCTGGCCCTGGAGTGTCTGAACTCGGTGGGGTGAATCCAGATCCCGAGGAATAACTCGGGCCTGGCATGTCAAACGGATCAACCAGTGAAGCTGGTTGGGTCATGGTCGTGGTCCCGGTGGAGCCACTCTGTCCAGAAGCCTGGGATGAGATGAGGGTTGGCTGTACCATCCACTGCAGGTCCTGACTGGTGGTGATGGCAGTGACGGTTGGCACGAATGAACCGGGCATCTCACCTCCACCACTTGTCCCTGGCCCGCTGCCCACAATGCTCAAGCCAGCACTTGCTGACACACACTCCTGAGGAGGAGATGTCAACAATTAAGTTTTATGGACCAGAGCTCAGATCAGGTAGAGCAGCAAAAAAAATACAGACAGATACAGAAAAACCAGAAAAAAAAGCTGGGATCTGTGCATCAGTCCGATCACTGTAGCAAACCGGATACATTTAGTACAAACATGCACTGAAATTCTCATCAGCTGCAATAAAGATCTGCTTTAAAGTGTAAAATGATTTAAATTCAGATTTCACCTAAAACTATTTGTATCTGTTTGCTATTCTCATCTGACTGTAGATAAACTACAACAAGGTGTGAAAAACCCTCTGCTCCGAATGTGGCTGAATGTATAAAACAACAGCTGAAGAGATACTAGTATTTATCATATACTAGGAAAGTCATGCTAGGCTGCCACAAACAGAAAGAAGAATATTAACATTAATAATTTAATATGCCTGGACCCATTATGTTAACAATTACATAAAGAAAGGTTTAGGCTACCTGACGTGATACAGTTTTAAGACTCCTTAGTGATCAGACATTTTACGCCAGGGGTATCAAACTCATTTCACATTGTGGGCCACATGCAGCCCACAGACATTTAATCATACATTAAACCCCTGAAATATTTTAATATAAGAAAAACAAGTGCAGTTTTAGGTGATATGACTCAGTTTTTCTAGATGATAGAGAAATTCCACTTGGGGCTTAAATTGTAAGAAATAAATCTGTAAAATTAAGGAAGAAGTTCTGTTAGCTCATTGCGCAGACTGTCCTGCAATTATAAAGCTGGAAATGTTTGTTAGTTGACAGACAGAATGTCCTCTTTTTATTTATTTATTTTTTCTATTGTAAACTTACTTTATAAATCATGCATTTCTATAGTAGACAGTGAAAAAACAGGAACATTCTGCCATTTAGCTGTTTATCTGTTACTACTTTGGTGAAGTATAAATAGCCGTGGGAGAAGTACAAAAGCCATAAAACCTATGAAAAAAAATACAGCAGAAAATCTAAAATTTATGCACTCCTTCACATTTTCCAAAGCTGTCAAGTGGGCCAGATTAAAAACTTTTGTGGCCACTTCTGACACTTGGGTCTTCTGTTTTACACCCCTGTTGTAGGCCTATATTACCTAGACCCAGTTTCTGACTTGTTTCCATTTCTTGATATTCATTTAACCACCTTTTCCGTGGGATTTACCAAAGAGTGGAGAAATGCTATTTGTTGTAAAGGTAGGAGCCAAAACGTGTTAAGGTAGCAGCCTTGGATTTCTCATTATATAGAGAATTTGAATTAAAAGGGTGTTCAAGAATGTTTTGTTTAACTTTAAGCAAAAAAAAAAAAACAACAACAAAAAAAACTTGAAATTTACGACTGTAGGTGTTTTTATTGTTAAAATAAAAAAGACGGGCTATTAAGCTTTCCTCTGCGCCCATGTCTAAAAATAGTCGTGGAAAGCTCAAATCTGTCGCTGGTATTTTATATTTCATACTCGGGGGAGTATCGCCGTTCATTAATATTCATTTGAAAGCGCGTTCAGACGTTTGGACCGACGGCTCTGAGAGCGACCGCCTCCACCAATCGTTTCTCTCTAAACGGCGTCTCTCCCGCCTCCTTCCTCCTCCTCCCTCACACCCCCGGTGTTCCCCTTGGCAACGCGACGTAGCACTCCAAAATAGAACGGGCATTTACGTCACGGCGAGAGGAGAGCGGAGCGAGTGGAAGGAGAGAAGCGGGGCAAAGGGGCGGGGCTGCGGCGCTTACGTCGGAGAGTTCCAGAGCGCTGTCAACCGCGCTGAGCACGTTGTCAACGCCGCCACCGGGGCTACAGTCAACACACAGACGTTGAATTTACATCCAGTCATCCCGGTCATTTAAGTTCTGACTGCAGAAAGACCGGATACACCAAATGTGCTGACTTGGTGTAGTCGGTCTTCTGTTAGCGGTGACAGAGCCCACTGCTTCATAAGCCATAAATACGTTTATATTCTGTATATTTATACATCTGACACACCATGCAGAGTGTGTTTAAGCAAAAGCACATGTCATAATTAAATGACAGGTTCATACCCAGTGATCGCGTGTCAGTCATATTGCATTTTTAAACGAATAAACAATCTGAGGTAAAAATGCTCTCCGACTTTTGTTTTCACTACATTTCCAGTCTGCTGACTGGAACTTACCTGTGGAGCACTGGTGGTCGGCGGGCTCCCGAAGGAGTCCACGGAGGAAAGGTACTGGGACTCTATAGATGGAGACGAGCTTCCACGGGAACCGCTGTCTGGGTCGCCGGGAAATCCTTGGTACATCTCCCCGGGGGGGCCGAAAGAGAACGCGACACCTGCAGGTACCGGAGAGAGAGCGATGTCACCTGCAGCGGTAGGGCAGCGGCACACACAAGAAGATTACTAAAGGAGGAGAGGTACTGTAATGAGAGAATGACTGATGTTAAACTCGGTGCACTTAACACAAGCCAGCTGGCGCTTGCTTTAAATTAGGCTGTTCTCTCATAAATGATGGCAGGCGGTTAATAAGTAGCCTGCAGCAGCGCGTTTTATGCGTTTAAACCGGTGTCAGCAGGGAAAACTGTCTTTAAGCATCTCCTATGAAGCCGTCTGAAGCAGACAGATGCTCCCGACCTACTTTAAAATAGTGCGCTTTCAAAAAGCGACTTTTGCTCTCAAACCGTTTGCGCTCACAGCCACAAAAAGTAAGCGTTTCTTACCTATGTAAGTCTTCTTGTTATTCCCCGGTGAAACGCTCTTGGTCTCTTTCCAAAAAAGTTGCATGAAGACTCTTAATCCAGTTCCCCGCTTTTAGACGGGGGAGGGAGGTCTACCAGTTCAATCTGCGAAGAAGTCCTCCCCGGTTCAGCGGTAAATCCTCTCAGTGCTCTCCGTTATCCGACCTTATCAAACGTGCAAATATACATCCATAAAGTCCGCTCACGGAACGCCGGAGGACGCTTGCTATATTACGGTGCACAGTAGCAGATCTTGTCTTATGAATGAAGCCCAGAGTAGAAGCAAGACATTTCAACGGTCTAGTCCCGCCTCGGAGTTCCGCTGACGTACATGACCATATTTGTGCCTGATGTTGTGTTTGGTATCCTTGGTGACGTTGAGGGATTCCCTCTGCCACTGAAATGGACCAGAAGCTCACCTCGTCGACGGATAATAATAGACTTTCTTCTTTCTTCTTTTTTTTTTTGGTCATATCACGGGCATGAGATATTTCTCACCGTCTGACAATTTCTGAGAGGAAATTTTAAGAAGCTCGGGGGTGATAAATATGGAAAGTATCTATTTAGGACTCTGTTTGCGTGTGTTTTTGATTGGGACATTTATTTAGTCATAGCAATACATAATATTCCTATAATGTGGAGGTTTGTTACGTTGAAATCAGTGGCACATTTACCCAATTGTAATTGTTATTAGTCTGCTATATATTGGATAAACCTATAATATATATTCTGTAGATATTGTAACTGGGATAGATAAGTAACCTTTATTTATTTATTTTCTTTATTTACAATATAATACGTAACCTGGAAAACACCAGAAGAAAAACAATGGATTAAGTTATGCAATACTCACAGCTCAGGACGGAATCCCGTCAACATGCGAGGGAAATCCTGCTGAAAAGTTTCTCAGGACACGCCCTCGGGAGTCCTCTGTGCTTGTGAGCCTAATGTTTTAATGAAAGGAAAGCCTCCTTTTCTTCTGTGCCTGAACACTCCTTAAACCCGAGGGCAGGTACGACGCCAAGCGAGGTTTTACGACTTTTAAAAATGTATACACCTAATCTGTTATGGATTTGAGTGTGGGCAGGACAGTCAGAGAGCACTCAGAGAGTGTCAGAACATCGGTCTTATTCACACCCCTCTCCTCCTCCTCCTCCTGAAGAAAAAAAAAGGAAAAATAAACATTAGTTGGTAAACAGCAGTGTTATTCTGACATGTACAGTGGGCAGCAGTGACGGAAATCTGCGCCTGTCATTGCAAACATCACCGGGACGAGCACAAAAGTGATTCATTATTAAAGCCTACATGCGGACAGCAGTGGGAATGTGGCAGGTGGGAGTTTGGCATTGGCTTGGGGGGAGGAGGGTCGCTCCAAGGGCCAAATGCGGGAACATGGGGTGTCAAATCATGAATGAAAATGTGAAATACAAGGCCTACGTTTTGTGTTCGTGATGTCACACAGTGTCACTGGGCGGGCTTGCTGCTGCGAGAGGGCTACGGCAATACAGTCGGTGTGTGAAAAGGCGTGAGCAAAAAGGGAAGAGTTGGGGATAACGAGTTATTAGTCAGCGCCGCAACAACGTCAGAGACGAGGATCCACGGAGGACGCTGTGTCCCATCCGGACTGCCGCTACCGGTGCCGTGCGGCTGAACCGGGATGACTAACTCCGTCGATGCGAATTGTTCCTGATGGGGAATTATTAAGGTGAATGGCTGATAACGCAGGAAAGGCAGCCCACATTCACGGGGAAACCAATCACTGCCGACTAACATAGCTTCCGCTATTTTAACACAACATATATCTAGTCCGATTAAAAATACAGACATGCTTCCCAGCGACAGAAGAAGACGTGTTTACTTTTAATAATCTCTAAAACAAGCGGTTAAAAAGAGACACGGTGTGCTAAAAGAGGCAGGGGCCATGTGCTGTACACGGGTTTGCTGAATGTGTGTAGCGTTGCGTCGCCATGGATACGCCGTTGCATCTGACGCAAGCACGTATAAATTTGGTCTTTTTTGTTATGCCGCTTAGCAACCGGTTTCCGTGGCAACCGGCTATGGGTGACAAGACAGCAGCCGCACACAATATGGCTTCCGGATTCTTTCTGCACAGAGAACAGTGGCAGCAGCGGAGAGGAACAGAGAGCAGTGCGGCGACTATTGTTGTTTCAGCGCACTTTTAACCGTTAACGACCGTTTTTTTTAATCTTCCTTTTCCACCCTGTGCTGCCTGAACTACCCTCAGGCAGTTACAGGTTCAACATCACTAAACTAGCTGTCATACCGTCCGAGCAGTCGCCGGTAAAATTCCCGACTCCATGCGCTAGTCGCTGTGTCGTTAAATATGCAGTTGGTATGGCCTCAGTTCTTATTTCGTGCAATAAACACATTAACTGTTACACAAAAGGTGGGCAGTAATTACTCCTGTACCTGCAGAAGCGATTAATTATGCATTAATTATAATGTTGTGAAACAGGTCATTAACTTTCATTCCAGTGAATTAAAGGTGATCTACTCAGCGTCAATAAGTTGCTTGGATCATATAGATTATAATTAAAACAGCAACACTTTATCAGTGAGCAGCAGGAATTTGCTTTGCCAAGTGTACTAATCATCAAGTAGGGTTGCATTTGTAAAGGTTGTAAACCTAATGCTGAAGTTTTTTCACAAGTTTCTTCATAGGCTCCATGGGCCTAAATAGTTAGTCACGGCTAGACTTTAGTCAGAGATGGTGTGGAGTTTCTAGACTGCAATCCTCCCTCCAGACTGTTTACTTCATCGCAAGTTTGTGTGTTTACAACTTGCGGTGGTCTAGACTCCTGCCAAGCTAGGTAAAAATGAAAAAATAGAAAGTGGTTGGTGTTGTCTAATGCCCCTGACGTGCTTTGTTTTGCTTGCCCCTGTCTCTTAGCGTATTTTCGGGAAGTCACTAACTTGCACTGTGCTCATGAGGCCAGCCCCTGTTTCCTTTTGGAAGGCGGGCCATGTTTGCTTGGTCTGGCCCAAAATACTTGTTACTAGGCAACGATTAGGCCTGTCCCACTTGAGAGCGGTGTTGTTTACACCCCTTTCTGGCTCCATATCCCAACAACATTGCATAACTCTCACAGGCTTCCCCCACCTAACCGAGAGAAATTTGATCAGATTTCTCCCCCCCCAGCCAACCAAAGCGTCTCATACTCTTATGCCACAGCTCTTCTTTTGGCCACTCTACAGTTTCCTTCCTCATCTTTGCTGTATTCTGTGTTTCGGCTCGATCGGTACAGCAAAAATTAAACTGCGACGAGGACTGTTTTGTCTTTCAGGTCAAAAACCCCTCAAAGCTCATTCTTACATGATCTTTAAAGTGGTGGTTCAGGCCTCTGTAGCTGCTTGAAAACTCGTATCGTCTAAATCCAGCAGTAATTCTTTCTTGGCAAAGTTTACTGTCTCCCTCCACACCTATGTAAACATGGCCTGTGTATACTGCATTAGCTGAAGCACTTGAGGTGAAATTAAAAACGCAGAGCCCTGAATTTATTAATATTTGAATCAAGATGAAACCATAAACTTTTGAACTTTTATTTCTGCAAAGATGCACGAGTTTCCTGCCTGCCTGTTTTCAGATATTTAACAGATTTTCTTTATTGTCATGGCAGTTTTTAGTGTAAAAATCATGAATGCACTCAGGACTACACGATATGGATTGATACCAAATGCTTGCAATAAATCCTAAGTTTAAGGAGAGGACTTAAGGCAAACTTTGGTGTTTGATTTATAGTGGTGTAGCAGTCATGTTATTTTGCACCTCCACACACCCTTTGGCTTGCGTACTAGCTGGTTTATTCTTTCAGTGATGGCATGCAAAGAATGGAGTAAATGATTAAGATTTGTAGAGATTTCTCCGCTAATCACAGCTGACTGTTTTGTGTGTATCTTACGAGCAGAGGTACGAACTCGTTGTCCTCGTTGCGAGGAGCCAAAGATTGCCTCAGTGTTATCCTCCACCTTCCCTCGACTCTCTGTAGTATTCATGTTGTTTTTCAGGCTCTGCTTGTGTCTGATTTGTCTTCGCTACATTTGTTTGGCTTTTGTTTTACTTCACATTTGCTGGTAAACTAGTGCCTGATTTTCTGCAGATGTTACAGCCACAGTTTTTTGGTTTAGATTAGACAATATAATCCCACAGGGAGCCCACAATGAACAGTTTGTATCATGAAGTTAATGCTCACTGAATAGGAAAATTCCCATGACCTCCTTGACATCCGTGTGTGGAGAGCCAGTTAGATTATTTACACTCGCATCTTTTCCAGTCTTTCTCGTTCCCATCTCCGCCGCCGCTCGCCTTTGTCCTGTTTATGTCCGTGCACTTGTGTTTATATGGTGTAATCCTTGTGGCTCATTAGACAAGTAGCAAGCTCGCGAGTTTACACGGCACACACGCACAGGGATGATTTAGAGCGGTATGTGGAGAAGGTAAAACATTCGACTGTGCATGCGTCACAACCTTGGTTGCAGACTCTTCTGAGACAAAAAAATTTTCACGTCATTTAATTTTATCTGGCTTGGTGGTATCAGGCTTCATATAGTTGTTTTCCTCTGTGTTAAGCAGGTAAGTAGGGCTATGGTTGACCATGGCACTGCTGACCTCCTGAAAACAGGGCCTTGACAGCACTTAATGATGAAGCATAAATTAAAGAGATGCTTGCGAGCTATGTGTGAGGGAGAAGTTAATGTAACATGGCAGAAAATGTAAAAATTTTAGGTTTTTTTCTTTATCCTTTGTTTTTTTTGTATTTTTATTTTATTTGGCACGCCATCCTAAACCACTGTTTTGCAACGACAACAAGGATAATGTCTCTTTACTGTTGCCGTACTATGTTCTGAGTGACATTACTTTTTCCGTTGTGATGAAAATGCCTCTAAATAACCATCTGTGCAATTGTACACGGCGTCAGACCAATCTTTTTTCTTTTTTTCTGCTTGTAAGTGCAGCCATAAACGTCAGCATTGAGGCACAGAAACAAGAGTGGATGGCTCTATTGTATCATGCACTGCATGGGAGTCGGATGCCTAAAGTTAAATGCAATCAGTGGGTTTCAGTATTCCACAGCTCTCTGTGACTCAGACACAAGCAGCGCGTCAATCCTAGCCTACTTTCAACAGGCTCGCTGCCAGTCAGAGAGGCAAAGTGCCAGAAAGAGGGAGGGACAAGAGCAAGCGGGTGAGAGAGAGAGAGATGATGAGATCAGAGGTGGAAAGTAACTCTGTGTGCCTCAACACAGTGCTTAAATGCTGTTGTTAAAGCCAGCGCTGAGTCATTAAACGTAGAATTTTTTTGCATGTAAACTCAACATTCCCTACATATGTGTCCACTTTCTTT